GATTATGGTCAACTTTCCAACACTTAAGCTCTCATTTAGGGGCTAAATGTCCCAAAACTCTCTGAAACTCACAACCGAACATCCCGGTAAATCAAAATAGCAGAAATAAACACGGGAAAAGCAGTTAATAGGGGATCAGGGTGTAAATTCTTAAGAAGACCGGCCGAGTCGTCACAAACAAGTATAAAAAAGAAGGATTTGCAACCGCTAAGATTTCTGCCAAGAAAATTGCACTTGAAATGAATATCGAATCCGAATTTAATAAGAAACGTGTAATATATAGGAAGTAACAATTTGATGAGAATATTTATAATAACATCTCAAAATCTTCGAAGAGTCCATTAGAGTTGATTACTTTATACATAGTAAACAAGGCTATTTTTTTCACTTCAAAATAGATTTAAACAATTCGAAGCATATGAAAGTATTTTTGGTTTTCTATTTAACGGTAAAAATTAAGATCACTTGATGATGAAAATTTGAAGAAATATTCCCTTAATCTTGAATGTTTCTTAAAGCATAATAATCAATTCGATAGTGATGGTTTAGATTTATTTTCGAAATTAAAAGTATTAAGGAAAATAGTATAATTAGAAGATAACAGTTTAACTGATACACTCGATCAAATAAAAAGATTTGATTCTTTTTCGAATGCCTATATTGCCTATGGAGTAATGTTAATAACTCCTGTTACCGTCGCTTCAGCGGAAAGAAGTTTTCAAAATTAAAATTGATAAAATCTTACCTAATATCAATAATGTCTCAGTAAAGGTTAAATGAATTAGCTATATTGTCACTTAAGAAAGATTTATTAGGAGTTATTAACTATAAAAAAATTATTAATAACTTTGTATCTAAGAAACGCTAGAAAAATAGACTTCAAATAAATCAATAAATTATTTTTCTATAAAAAAGTTAAGGCCCCTCGTAAAGTTTGACTTTATGCCGCAAAGCTCGCTGGGTCGCCCATGCACTGGTCTTATACCCACAAGTTCTAAAAACTATCACAAATACCAATAGTACCTTCAGAAATAATATTCATTACATTATCGCAAACCATAGTCCTAAACATAAATAAATTTAGTACAAAATTATAGTTTTCATAATGAACTACATAATACACTATCAGATGACCAAGAAAACGAAGCAGCATTGTTATAAAATAATAAATGACGAGCTCTTTTATAAAATATAAAAGTTTGGGGCAACTTTTTAAAAATATAATAGTAACATTTTGGGCCAAAACCAGCTCTTTTGTGATTTGGGTTTTGGGTTTTAGAAATTTGCCCAAATATGGATAAAATTTATGAACAAACATGTATTTGCAAAAAAAACCGTAAATATATTTTGGCAAAATCTATGGCCAAACGGGAGTCAAACGGATTTTACTTTGGAAAGAAATAAATCATTAAAGCAGTCACACTACCGTAAGAGATATTTCCTCGTTTACTTTTACTTGTCTATTCTTTTAAATGAAGTATATGTTTTATCATAATAATACCCATAATAAGAATGTCATTTTAAAAAATGTTCAAAATAATTTGAAAAATAAGTAGTTAATGACAAGTATAACAAGAAAAACAAAGTTACCTTTCTTTTGATTTGTTAACATGGACAAATAAAAGTAAAATCTATATGTTCTATATTATATTAAAAGGTGGATAGTGAAGCATAAAGTTAGACCAAGTGGCATAATGAGAACAAGTCATTTGACACTTTTAGGACAAAATCTAATAAGAATTAAGACAAAGATTTTAATATAGATTTTCTAAACTAAAAAATAAATCTATATCTATACAACTTTTCATTTTTATCCATAACAATGTTCCTCTAATAATGGACGTATCAAACTCAAAGACAGATTCTTTCTTTAAAAAATTATTTATTACCAGATAACACACTTAATTTAAATTTATTTATATCTATATCTATATCTATATTATATTAAAAGGAGAGTAGTATGCATTGTGATTAAGCCAAGTGACAAGTTAAAATGAAGACACTAGGCAATTTTAGGACAACATTAATAACTAGAAATTATATATATAAACATAATCTATATTATATTAAAAGGAGAGTAGTATGCATTGTGGTTAAGCCAAGTGTCAAGTTAAAATGAAGCCACTAGGCAATTTTAGGACAATATTAATAACTAGAAATTATATATAGAAACATAATTAATGGAAGTAGTTTAATGAATCTTATACATAATCTAAATAGATCTTAGATAAATCTAATCTATATATTTATAATTAAATTTATATGTATATTTGTATCTATATCTATATCTATAGCTATATTTATATTTATATATTGATCTACTCATAGATTCTTTTCTATATTAGATAGAAATATGGAGGTGAAAAATTAATTAAAAACTATAATAGAAAAAATAAATAAATATATAAAGACGTAAATTGAGATAACCTATAAGAAGGATAACACAATAAGATAAAAACATTCGAAATACATATTGAACACATAAACCTATACTCTCTCCTAAAAAACCCTAAAACTTGACGCCTAAACCTAGCTGCCATGGCCACGCCGGCCACTGCCCAGCCTTCAATGGAGGTTGGGCAGTCGTCTTCCCCGCCTATAACATCCCCCCAACCATCTACAATCCCAAATCCAATCCAAAATTACGCAAATCTCCTTAAACCTAATGCATTAAATGCTCCCATGCAAATTGTTCCTAATGTAGCCATAAAACCTATTGAATATCTGCATGGGGAACCAATCGTGAGATGGAAGAAGCAATAAGTAAGGTAGTCCATCGCACAACAAGGCTTGAACCTGGCAGTGTTGGGTATGTTTTCTTATGGGAAGCCTGGAATTCATGATTTACGTAAAGCATTGCCTATACAATGTGAATTAAAAGGCCCATGCTCAATTGGCCTTATTGAGGACAACCATGTTTTGATCAAGCTTTCATTAATGGAGGATTATATTCATCTACTGTCCAAGCCTGCTTATTACTTGAAGATCCAGAATGAGATGTGGCAGATGCGATGCACCAAGTGGAATCCATGGTGGAAAGTTAATGAAGAAACACCTATTGCAGTAGCTTGGATTTCATTTCAAGATTTGCCTCATAACCTTTTTGGGAAGGAGTTTGTTTTTTCTTTAGCTAGGGCAGTAGGGAAGCCATTATATGTTGATTTAGCCACTTAAAATTGTACAAGACCAAGCTATGCAAAGGTAAAAGTAGAGGTGAATTTACTAGCTAATTTACCTCAAAGAATAAAGATTGTAGAGGAAGAAGATGAGACTGGACCGAAGGAGTTCAAGTGGATTAAGATTAGGTATGATTATATGCCTAAGTACTGCAAATATTGTAAAAAACAAGGACACAAGGAAGAGGAATGCTGGGTGATTAATCCAGAGTTGAGGAAGTTTGAGGAACAAGCCAATGATATGAGGAAAGAACAAAAAGATACAAGTAAGGAGCTGGTAGGTACTGCTGCAAATTCAACTAAGGTTCTATCAAGTGGTAGAGTGGTGGGCAAGCCAAGTGTTAGTCAAGCCAAGCAGGAATGGATGCAAGCTAGAAAGAACAAATATCAAAGGGATAAAAAAGGGCATATTATTGATGACAAGCAAGGAAAGGAAGGTGACAAAGGTAAAGGTAAGACAAAACTGGAGGAAGTGACAACCAGAAACAAGTTTAATGAATTGGAGGTGGAGGAGGTTACAAATCCTCCTTTACAAATTACTGAAGGCAAAGGAGATGATCAGTTCAGTGGTAACAAGAAAGAACAAAAAGAAAAAAACAATCCAAGATGGTGCAGGAGAAGGAACATCAGTTCAAGGCCGGATTAGTAAATCCTAATTCTAGTGTTAATGGGAATAGGAAGGTTACTGAGGTGAAGAATCCTAAACCAACTGGAGAAGGGAGTCAAGGGGAGCTAAAGTAGGTGAAGAAGGAGGCAGTTGAAAAAGTACTGGAAATAGAAAAATCTGGGAATCCTACTCATAATGGGAGTCCAGTAGCAACAACTCAAGGTGGTCATGGAAAAGATATTGGTAGGTCCACAGGTCCTATGGATCAAGAAGCTGCTGAGAAGGCTAAGAAAGAGGCTACAATTGATTGAGTACATAGAACTTTTGGGACAAACAAGGAGGAACTTATGCAGCTGAATGTTACAACTAACCATTCATGTCAAGAAATCCCATCTCAAACGCATGAAGAATCAGGCCAACCGGAGGAATTACATGAATTAAATTCAGCTAAGACATTATGGAGTGATAAGGTGGAGCTCATAGATAATCAGATAGGTGCAATTCAGTCAAAAGGAGACAAAGAAAAAAGAAACAACAAACACCTTCAAGAAACTGGGAATACTTTAGATACTACAGAAAATCCTGGCAATCCAAAAGCGAGGTTAGACTGTAATTTGAACTCTATAAAGTTGAATGTTAGAAAAGCAATTGGAGGAGGTTCAGGAGCATTAAAGGAAGTAGAAAATCAAGATGGTTCAGTTGCTGCAAGGATCATTGAGAAGGGCAATGGAACAGTAACTCCCAGTAAAACTGGGGATATTTAGTGTATGTTGATGGGGGTACCTGTATATGTATTGGAGAAAGGACAAGATCAAAGTCTTCCTACTAAACTTAGGAAGGATACAACGTGTCAAATTCAACAAACAGACAATGAGAAGGGGGATGATTCCAATGGAACAGTATCTCAGGCAATTTCTGCTAATATTGCTACATCAAATCCTAACCTTGGGTCTGTGTATGAGCTTTAGTTTAAATTGATGCAGGAGAAGCTAGGAGACATGGGGAGTAATTCTGAACAGTTTGAAACAGCATTGACACCTTATGAGCATGGATAACAAGCCATAATTACTGGGGATAGTGATGTGTTACTAATGGCATGTTCATTTGGAACTGGATCCCCATTACAGATCAAAGTGGATTTACCATTGAAATTTCCTAATCAAGTACTGAACGATCTCATAACTCATCAGGAGTTGCCATTAGACATATAGAATTCTATGGTGGATAAGCAAAAGCAATATGAGGAGGAAGATGATGATGAATCTACTATAGAAAACTTCAAGGGTGTGATGAGAGAAGGGGATGTATCTCCTACAACAGCTACTAAAAGTGGGAAGAAGGGAAAGAAAAATCAACCTAAAGAGTCAGTACAACCTACAAGAATTTTGCCTAGAAGGGCAGCCTCTAGAGCTTCGAGATGATGATTAAAACACTTATATGGAATATAAGGTCTGTTAAAACTTAGCAGGCCTTTCAGAGAGTGATCAATATGCAGAAGGAACATGGTTTTTTCATTGTGGCTCTAATGGAGCCTAAACAAAAGAAGAAATTTCTGAACAGATATAGAAGAAGATTAGGCATGGAAGCTGCAATCTCTAATGTAAATGGAAAAATTTGGTTGTTTTTTGATTCTGTTGTGGAATGGGATCTTGTGGTTGACAATGAGCAACAAATTACCATCAGAGTGTATCATCAAGACCTTGGTATATACATTATGATGACATTTGTATATGCTAAGTTTTGTGCCTTAGAGAGACTAGAATTATGGGACAGTCTTTATTGTTTGGCTAGTGATATGGAGCTGCCATGGCTAGTAGGTGGTGATTTCAATGTGGTGTTGGGAAAAGAAGAAAAGATAGGAGGCCTACCAGTATATCCACCAGAATATGAAGACTTTGCATTCTGTGTTAATTCATGTGAATTGTTTGATTTGGGATTCAAAGGCAGTCCTTTTACTTGGTGGAATGGGAGACCAAATGAGGAGTGTATATTCAAGAGACTAGACAGAATCATGGTGAATATGCCTTTTCAGACTCTTTTTCCTACAATTGAAATAGAACACCTTATTAGAACAGGTTCTGATCATGCACCATTGTTATTGAGTTGTGGTGATGAATCTTTGAAGTTTGTTAAGCCCTTTAAGTTTTTGAACTTTTGGGCAAATCATGAAACTTTCCTAGATGTAGTAAGGCAGAAGATTTTATAGGGGACCCTTTCTTAATGTTTAAGCAGAAGTTGAAAAGAGTCAAGATTGCTCTTTCAAAGTGGAGCAGGCTGACTTATGGAGACATTTTCAAACAACTGGCAATTAGAGAGGATGTGGTGAGAATCAAAGAGATGTTATTTGAAGAAGATCCATTAATAGCAAAGAGAATAGTTCTTCAACAGACCCAAGCAGAGTTGAAGAAATATTTTAACTGTGACGACCCGAAGGGTCATCACCGTAGTTCTTTCTTGTTCCGCGCTTTCGAGGCCTTGAAAACCTCGCTTTAGTTGCCTTGATTGGCGTTGTCANTCATTTTATTTTTGAATTTTTTGGGAGTAATTCTCATATTGGGCAAAAATCACGTGCTTACAGGCGTGCGCAATTCGGGCGCGTAGCCGGAAAGTTTTATGTTAGAATATGTGAATTATGTGAAAAATTTGATGAATTTTGATATTAATATGCATAATATTGACTTCGGTCAACATTTTTGGGTAAACGGACCCGGACCTGTCATACACAACACGACAACCATAATAGTGTCAACCAACCCGAAAATGTTACGACGAACGATCAACAAACAACCTTGCCATCATGTGGTGTTTCTCCACAACCTTCCTCCTCTCAACTCTATAAAAATAGTAGTAAAAGAGACAACCCAATACCAACACGAAACAGCCCAAAAATATTCCCACAAGTTCATCAACTCAAAAATAATTTTTCAGTTTACTTAAACACATTTCGACTTGTCTTTTCTTTCAAATTGGGAAATACAACCAAAAGTACATCATTATACCTCTTATCCAATAAACCAGCCATGAATTCAACTTAAAAATAAGTTTACAACCAGCCAACCATTACACAAGAACAAAAAACATACCATTCTTTCGAAACTAGCTAGGTCTATTCTTTACGATCGAGTTACAACTAGCAAACGCATAGATAATGGAAGGAGAAGCATAAACTTACCTTGTACTGAGTATAACCCACAAAACCTGGTCCTTTTTCATCAAAAATAATTTCCTCAACACAGCTACAAGAAGGAGAAAGAGAAACTAGCAAGCTGTCCAGACTTTTCAGCACTAGAATCGCGTCGTAACACCCGGAATACCCTAGGGTTTGTGTGGGATTTTTGGGGAGGAGTTTTAGGGGTTCAATTAAGTTTTCTTGGTCTGAAATATAGGTGAAATAACTTAGTTTATAATCCCTTAAAATTCCCCTCTTGACCGAGTTGAGGCCTCTCTTTTTGGCAAGTAGGTGATGCACCTACTTGTCACCTACTAGCTGCGCGGTCTCGCGAAAATGCGAATATCTCTATACTCCGAGATCGTATTGATAAACGGTTTAATGAGTTGAAAACTAGACTCATAGATCTTAAATTTCATATGTAGATCATCCCTTGATTCAAAGTATGTTGGGATAAAAGCTCAGCTACATTTAACCTAAGTTTCAACTCATTTTTGAATGTAACTTGTGATGACCTTTTCCAACTTTTGTTCCACAACTTGCTTGACTTAAAAACATAACACACGACTATCATACGACTAAACTAACTCATAACATAACCTCATCATCATGTTAATCACCCTTGTCTCACCCCAAAAGTATAGGTTATAACATTCCAAACTTGTCGACATTCGACGAAACTTATTTTCTTTAATTCATTTAGCGCCTAAGCTTTCCAACCCTTTTGGTACTCGTTATTCATGATCATAAAGATTTGTAACCTCCATTATAAAAGGATTAACTTACTTTACGTACTTTCAAAGTTGATCTCATTTATGAGCTTACATCAATTGACTTAAGGATACTCTAACATACGAAAACATAGGGTGTAACATGGCTGGCCTTGTCTTCACGAGATGCTCCATCACGACCGAGTTTGGGTTTAGGGTCATGACAAGTTGGAATCAGAGCCTAGGTTACATGGGTCTCGGGAGTCATGAGCCGGTTTAGTAGAGTCTCGCGGATCGGTACGGAGACATCTGTATTTATCCTTGAGAGGCTGCAAAACCTTTAGGAAAAACTTCATATTCTTGAAATTCCTATCGTGCGAACTTGTTGATCCGAGTACTAAACTTCCGTTATTCTATTCTCTCACAGATGGTGAGGACACGAGCTACCGGACGGGGTGGACGACCACCAGTGCCACCAGCGGAGGCCACTAGAGGCTGTGGATGCGGTCGTGGTTGTGGCAGAGGCAGAGCAGTAAGGGCAGCACCGGTAGACCCACCAGCCGCCCTAGCTCAGGATCAAGCTCCAGCTATGGATGCTCCAACAGCACCAGTTCAGGCACCAGCTGTGCGCATCGTGATTCCGGGTCTTCAAGAGGCCTTGGCACAGATCTTATCAGTTTGCACTGGCCTGGCTCAGGCAGTTTCAGCCACTATAGCAACAGCTACTTCACAGGCCGGGGGAGGCAATCAGACCCCCGCTGCTCGCACACCTGAGCAGGTAGTGCAGGGACTTCAGATGCTGGGGGAACCTCCAGCCCAGCCGGTTGCACTAGCTCAGGAGTTTGTAGTACCAATTATGTCGAATGATGAGTAGCGTCGACTTGAGAGGTTTGGTAGACTCTAGCCTCCGACTTTTAACGGAGCAGAAGGCGAGGATACCCAGGGTTTCTTGGATAAGTGCCAGTGGATGCTTCGTATAGCAGGGATTCTTGAGTTTTTTGGTGTGGCATTTACCACCTTTCAGTTCTTGGGGGCTGCCTTCACTTGGTGGGAGGTGTATGAGAGGCATAGAACTATTGGTGCAACGCCCTTTACTTGGCAGCAGTTCTCCATTTTCTTCCTGGAGAAGTATGTACCGCAGTCCCGCAGAGAGGAGCTGCGGTAGATAGTTTGAGTGGTTGCGACAGGGGGATATGATTGTGTCACAATATGAGTCGAGGTTTTCTGAGTTGGCTCGTCATTCCATCTGGGTGGTTCCGACAAATCGAGAGAGGATCAAGAGGTTTGTTGATGGTCTTACTTATCAGCTTCGTATTCTTATGACCAGAGAGAGTGATGGGTGCTACCTTCGAGGAGGTTGTTGATATTGCCCAAGTGATTGAGGTTGTTCGCTGTCAAGAGCGAGAGGAGAGGGAGGCCAAGAGTCCTCGAGGATCGGGTAGTTATAGTGGTGCTCCTTTGAGGGGCTAATTTCAGCATGGTAGAGGCCGTTCATTCAGGCCTATTCAGTCCGCCCGCCTAGGTTATCATGGGGCATCTTCAGGTTGTGGTCATCATGGATCTCAGCAGGGCCAGTCATCACTCAGCGCCCTCCCATCTCAGCGTTCATCTCATGCCCCATCGACTCAGGGTTCTTCTATGCCGAGCGCATTTGCTAGTCACTCCAGTTCGAGGGGTTCCCTTCAGTCCCCTTCTCCAGCACCTGAGAGTTGTTATGAGTGTGGAGAGATAGGCTACATGTAGAGGCAGTGTCCTCGTCATGTTGCTAGTTCGTCCCAGCAGAGGGGTCAGTCTTCGGCTTTAGTGCCAGTTTCTTCACCACCACTCGCTCAACCAGCTAGGGGTGGAGTTCAGTCAGCCAGGGGTCGCCCCAGAGGGGGAGGTCGATCAAGGGGCTGTCAGGCCCATTTCTATGCACTCCCAGGTAGTCCGATGCTATTGCTTCAGATGTTGTTATCACAGGTATTGTTTTAGTTTGCCACAGAGATGCCTCTGTATTATTTGATCCCGGTTCCACCTTTTCTTATGTGTCATCATATTTTGCTTATTATTTTGGTACGCCCCATGAGTTTCTTGCTTTACCTATTAATATAGCTTTCCCAATGGGCGATACGTTGTTGTAGACCGTGTGTACCGGTCATGTGTGGTGACTATTGAGGGTCTGGAGACCCGAGTGGATCTATTACTATTGAGCATGGCGGATTTTGATGTCATTTTGGGCATGGATTGGTTATCTCCGTGTCGTGCTATTCTAGACTGTCATGCTAAGACAGTCACATTGGCTATGCCGGGTGTGCCACGGATCGAGTGGCGAGGTGTGACTGATTACGTTCCTAGTAGAGTGATCTCTTTCTTGAGAGCCTAGCGTATGGTTGGGAAGGGTTGTCTTTCATACCTAGCGTCAAAGGATGTTGGAGTTAAGACTCCCAGTATTGATTCTGTTCCAGTTGTGAGGGATTTTCCTGATGTGTTTCCTGCAGACCTGTCGGGCATGCCACCGGACAGGGATATTGATTTTGGTATTGACTTGGTGCTGGGCACTCAACCCATTTCTATTCTGCCGTATCGTATGGCACCAACGAAGTTGAAGGAATTGAAGGAGCAACTTCAGGAGCTCCTAGATAAGAGCTTTATTCGGCCTAGTGTGTCACCTTGGGGTTGCGACGGTTCTATTTGTGAAGAAGAAGGATGGCACAATGAGAATGTGCATTGATTATAAGCAATTGAACAAGGTAACAATTAAGAACAAGTATCTTTTGCCTCGCATTAATAATTTATTTGACCAGCTTCAGGGAGCGAGGGTGTTCTCCAAGATTGATCTCCGTTCAGGTTATCACCAGTTGAGGATCAGGGACTCGAATATTCTTAAGACGGCTTTCAGGACTCGATATGGTTATTATGAGTTCTTGGTAATGTCTTTTGGGCTGACCAATGCCCCAACAATGTTCATGTATTTGATGAACAGAGTGTTCCGGCCGTATCTCGATTCATTCGTCATAGTCTTCATTGATGATATTCTGTTATATTCGCATAGTCAGGAGGAGCACACAGAGCATTTGAGAGTTGTATTGCATAGATTAAGGGAGGAGAAACTTTATGCAAAATTCTCCAAGTGTGAGTTTTGGCTCAGTTCAGTGCTTTCTTGGGGCACGTGGTATCCAGTGAGGGTATTCAGGTTGATCCGAAAAAGATAGAGGCAGTTCAGAGTTGGCCCAAATCGTCCTCAGCCACAGAGATTCACAGTTTTCTTGGTTTGGCAAGCTATTATCGCCGGTTTGTTCAGGGATTCTCATCTATCGCATCGCCCTTGACCAAGTTGACTCATAAGGGTGCTACATTTGTATGGTCGGATGAGTGTGAGGAGAGCTTTCAGAAGCTCAAGATAGCTTTGACCACAACTCCAGTATTGGTTTTGCCATTAACTTCAGGTTCATATATTGTGT